AGAAATATCCTACTGTCATCAATTAAGTTTTAAGAAAAATCAGTGGTATTTCCATAACATTATATATAACTATAAACTTGTGCTATATTTTAAAATATCATCATTGCTAGATTTAGTTTAGTTCAACAAACTGCAACATGTGTTTTATGGACTGAGAAACTAGATTTTGCTTTATAAAATGTCATTCAAATGATGGTGGGCTTTTGCTCTTCATGTACCATTTCTGAAGAAGAAAACAAAGAAATACGAGTCCAATTCTAACTTTACCATGGTTCAAGACTATTAATCCATCTAATGGTGTCTTTTTATTATGAATGTAACTAGCTAGTACATAATTCACGTACGTGCAAAACTGCCTATGTGCAAATCTCTGTTGACTGTATTAAAGAAATCAGTTAAAAAAAAAAAAAGCATCACACAAAAAAGATACCCCAGCAGTAAAGTGAATTAAGTAGTTCAACTTTGCAAATGTCTAGGATTAGAGATTAGCGCTATCATAGGTGGCTGGTGAACAGCAAATAAAAAAATGCCTGTTTTTTGCAAAACAGTTCATGATGAAGAAAGCAATCTCTATGAGAAGTGTTTCATTAGCGTACAGAAAGCAAGTGCTGTTATAATTGGGAAGATTTCCTTAAATACTAGTCATAATGTGTCAAGGAACCATGGATATGGCATTAGGTGACAGTGTGCAAGTCAGACTACAAAGAGATACTACACATTGGGTTTGTAAATGCCACATAGGAATGAGATCACAGACCATGAAAGACAGGCAATGGAGAGTTTCAACCCATAGGAAAAGCAAGTAGCTCACCTTCAAGAGAACTAACATAAGAGTAAGAATATCATGTAATATTGACAGTACTAACCTCTGAAAAGGTGCAATCTATATCAGCCTCTTAAATATTAAAAGGCAAAAAAGGTAATAAATTGGAATGCATATTATATATTCATTGTCCTATAACGAGTTTTGTCTGTGATGTCTTTATTCTACATAAATCTTCTAGATGCCTGCTATAAAACGCTTCATAACTTATTAATGGTCAGAATGAGAGAGAGAAAATATAAATGAATGAATGAATGAATGAACGAACGAACGAACACACATGGAGCTGGAGGTACCAAAGACCTGCAGAAATAAATAGAAAAAAACCTAACACCTACGTCTTGGTCTGAATGAAGTTCTGGCTCTGTAAAAAAAAAAAAAAAGCAATACTTAGAGGCCTATCAATTAAATGTGTGGTCCTCATGGAGTCCTTAAAGGCAGAAATGCAATTATCCCAGAAACTAAGACAAGAGAAACACTGATCCCTCTAATATGAGACAGACATGTACAGACTGGTCTAAAGTAGTTGGACCAGTACCAGAAGTGTATGAGCAAGATTAATCAGAAAGAGGAAGAACACTTGTCTGTATATGAATATATTTATTTGCATATGTGGTAGAAGGAGCAGGGGGCTGTAATAATGGGAGTTAAGGAAATAAATTTGGGAAAGAAGATTCTGAATGTACAAGAAGATAAGTTACAGAAACAAGAGAGGAATGGATGAGCCCATTGGTGAAAGAGCTGATAACAAAGCACAGAAGAGAACAGGCAGACAACCAGCGTTAAAGGAGAAGATTCATCTGGTTCCCTTCAAATAGACCTCCCACAGGCAAACTTCCCTATACCATTTTATCCACCCATTTTTATAACACCTTCTCTCTCTTAGAATCCTTTCTTCCCTGAAAGGTTCTTAATTGTCACCAGGTTGTCGGTTTAAATCTTTAACAACTATCTTATAAAAAAATTGGGAGAAAGGACATACTCAAGGCTACTTGCTTTTCTTAAAAAAAAAAAAAAAAAAAAAAAAAAGATTCAGCCACACACTATGCCTTGTCTTCCTTCCTGCTTCCTTCCCTGTCCTTTCTCTTTTGAGCATTTCTTCTCCATTGTGTTATCATTGAGCAAACTTCCTTACACACAACCACCTGAAATCCTTCTCCAAGACATGGACTTAACATGACTCTCTTGCTTTTATAATTTGTTTACTCTTCTTCCATTTTTCTCTTCCACTGTCTGAAAATTTAGATTATTAAATGTAGCAGGGCCTGTCTCCTGCTGTTTATCTAATAATATTTAATGTCTACCACAGTAGGACACCTAATTAGAGAAACCTCAAATAGCTCATTTCACTAATATGCATGCAACTATAAAGCAGGTGTGGCACAGTGGACATATGGCACCTAACAAGTTTTAAAAATAAAGAGTGGTAGAACCATCTAAATAACATTTTTAGGGTAAAGATTAACTCCTTTCTGTCAATCTGTGACTCATATTTCCTATTTGCTTCCACAGCAATATTCTTCCTGCCTCTTGCCAGACCTTTTTATCCGAAGACTCCTACCTCTGAGTACTATTTAATAACCATGCCTTTGCAAGACATTTCCTACTGTCTTCACGAAGAACTCTACTCTCTCCAGTGCCATTTAATTGTCCTACA